AGGCCGGAGGGGGAGGAGGCGGCGGGCGCCGCGGCCGGGCCGGGGGACCCGAGTTGCAGCTACTTCTCGGCCTGCGGGGCCGCCGCGCACCCGAGTCTGCGCGGGTGGGAGCGGCCCGGGAGGCGGCCTCGCCTTGGGACCCACGGGGCTCCCGCCACCTCTGCAAGGTCTGCCAGGGCTCCTGATTCATTCATTCGTTAAACAAACACCCACCGAGATGCCGGGGCGCCGAGGCTGGAGGGGACCCCGGTGAACTGAACCTCCCCGGTCCAGGCCTTCGGGGATCGCGGTGCAGTCAGAGGGACAGACGAGTGGGGAAGCCCTCCCAAGCCCGGGTGCTGGGAGTCCCGGCTCACAGAAGACACTTCTGTGCCGGAGGGAGGGACCGTGTGTGGCCAGGCCAGGGGAGGGGAGAAGCGCCAGCCGAGCTCGGGGGTGGGGGGCGAGAGGGGAAGATGAGACCAGGTTGGGGGTGCGTGCCGCAGAGGGCTTGCATTTTATTCTATTAGCCATGAAAAAAGATTACCAGAGGAGGGAGGGGCTCGATTTGTATTTTAGGAAGATCTCTGACTCCTCAGTGGAGAAAGGATGGCAGAGGGCAGCCCGAAGCCAGGGACACCCCTCAGGAAGCTGCTGAGAGATGATGGCAGTGGACATGAAGATTAAAGATCAAGTTGAGAGCTATTAGGAATGTAGAACTGAAGAAATTGACAGGATTTGGGGACCGAGTAGATGGGAAGTTGATGGAGAAGAAGGGATCTGGATGACTTGGCTTGAGGCGGGGAGCCCTGGAGCAGGGTGGGGTTAGGGGTGGATGAGATCAGACTTGGACCTGGTGAGCGGGAGGTGGCAGCAGGCCAGCCAGGGGAGGTCACGTAAGAATCAACCATACTGCAAGGCTTAGAACGTGCCAGGCACGCTCTCAGGTTATTTAATGTCACCCTCACAATAAACCCATAAGGTGGGTGTTTTTATTGCCCTCAACCTCACAGAAAACAGAGACTTCGAAGAATGAAAGTGGTTTGTTTTAGAGCAAGTGGTGAAGCTGGATAAGGGGTCCAGAGCTCAGGGGAGAGGTGGAGAGGCATGAAGTCTGTAAGGACAGAGAGTTCCCCGATGACTCACGGGAGTCTCTGCAGTTCTAGGCGTCCGAGGGCCTGAGGGAAGTGGCATATTGAGCCAGGAAGATCTTGGGACTGTGGGTGAGGACAGAATTAATAGCCTTTAGGGGCTGAGAGTATTCAAGCAGATCTGTGGGAGTTTGGGGGTCTCTGGAGGTATTCAGAATCTGCTGGCAGCCATGGGGTGCTGGCTAGATTGTGGAGATGTGGGAAGGGGGTGATGTCTCTGGTGACAGCCTGTGGGGGCTGTGTCTGGGTTCTTTAAAGAGGATGTGGTTTGCAGGTGTCTGGTGAGATCTGGGTGGTAGGCCGGAGTCGGGGTATTGATTATATAGTCCCTGCAGAGCCCAAGGGCTTGGGGAGATGATGGATATGTAAGGTCCATGTTGAGGGGGAGGGATCTGTGGGAGGGTGTCTGCTAGGCCATAGCATCTGGGAGAACCCCAGTTCCTAGTGAGGCCTAAGCTTCTGAGAGTTGAATCAATAGCTCTCAACTTGATCTTCAATCTTCATGTCCACTGCCATCACCTCTCAGCAGCCACCAGAGGGGTCTCCCTGGCTTCAGGCTGCCCTCTGCCATCCTTTCTCCACTGAGGGGTCAGAGTTCTTCCTAAAACGCAAATCCGAGCCTCTCCCTCCTCTGGTAGTTTTTTTTTTCATGGCTAATAGAATAAAATTCAAGCCCTCTGCCCCCCCCTCCCCAGTCTCATCTTCCCCTCTCGCTCACCCATGGTAAATGTTGGGGTTGTGGCAAATGTGCTCAGACTTTCAAGAATTGGGCAGGTGACGAGGTGGGTCTAAGGTGACAAGCTTCATACAGGCCTGCCATGTGTGATGAGCTACTTGGCACATCCCCAAACATGGACATATACCACAGGTGGCACATCTCAGGCCTGAGAAACTCACAGCAAAGCCATACACAACACCCCCAGCCACACAACACACTCAGGCTTCAAGATGAGGGAGCTACTTGGCCCACCTTTTGGGACACACAATGTACAGGTCCCTTACCTAGTATACAGGACAGATAAGGGCAGCAGGACCCTACCCTGGATTCTCAGCCCGTCAGAAGCCCTCGCCACCATGTCTAACCCCCATGTCTGCCTCCCCACCAAGGAAGGTCCAGCCACTTCACTTCTTGGGACTTCTTGGCTAGGTTTTCTGAGCAGGGCCTCAGTGACCCCTAACTCTGGAGCCATGACCTGTGACATTGTAGCTTGGTGGTCTCTGATCTTGGGATTCAGCCACCTGGATCTGTCTTCAGCATCCTCAGGGCCTCCAGAGTGTTACAAGGATGATCCACTTGGATTGGAAATAACTTGAAAGTCATGGTCACCATCCCCAGGTTTCCAGGTTTCCACCGTCAGGTGGGCGGCAGGATTGGACCTGTCCCTTGTGGCCCTGAGGTGTTGTAATGGCACTTTGGAGCGGTAGCTATGGGAAGCCAGAATTTGTGTTGACATGAATGAGACCTGCGTGACAGAGCAATTAAGGGAGAGGTTGCCTTGGGAGCTGTCGCTGGGAGTTCTGGTAGAGGCAGCTCATCTAGGGTGTTGTTAGGGACCCACCAAAGTGACCTTGAAGGGCCCAGAGGTTGGGACTTCCATTCCTTATGGCAAAGGGAGGGGAAGGTGAGAATGCCTAAGGCAAGGCACTGAACGCAAATGCCTTGTGCTTCAGTTTTCTCTCACATTTGCACACCAGCATGCAGGGAAAGGCAAGGCTGGTGCTGCTGACTGCTGCCGACTGCTGCGGTAAGCTCTTCTCCCCTCCCTGCCCACCTCTGGCTCTCACCTCTCTGGGACTTCACTAGAGCTTGTCCCAGGAACCCTGGCATCTAGACCCTCAGACCCATTAATGCTAGAGCAGGTGAGTCAGCCACCAAATCTGCTGGTGCAGAGCAGGGGGGCCCTGGGACCGATTTAAGGCCCACTCCCAGAGGAGCGAATAGAACAGACTCTCTAGGACCCTGCGGACAAATCTGCCCTGACATGTCACCTCCCACCCGCAGCTGCCACCTTTAGGAAACTTTAGGTCCTTCGTGGACTTCATACAGGGTGCCTCTTGAGAGTACCCCCATCAGTTTAGAGGACTGTCAGGGGAGGGGCCTGGGGCTCAGCGTGCCATATCTAGCCCATCCTCTGAATTCCTTCAGAGACCTTGAAAAAGGAAGGCATCAGGCTGAACGAACCCTCTAGAAATTCTAACCTTGTCCAGGAATGGACAAAAAGCGTGGGTGCTGATGGGGGGAGTGGTGGCAGAGTGCCGGAACCGGGAATCGTAGAATTCTGTAGAAGACCCCCAGGGTCCGGGGCAGCACTGGTGGGAGGGGACCACTGGGGGCAGCCTGGCATCCTCGACCCCTCCCCCCTCCAGCGAATCAAGAAACCAGGCAGCGAGGCTCTGGGGGCTGCTTTTATGGGGACGATCTGACAGAGGGCATGGTCCGTACAAAACCAGGAACAATACATACATATATATATATTATATACAGAGACGCAGTCCTCCGGAGGGCGGGGCAGGGGAACCGCGGGCCCGAGAAGCCGGAAGCGCCCCGCGGCCCCGCGTAATAACTTCGTATAGCATACATTATACGAAGTTATCGCCGGGAATCGTAGAATTCTGTAGAAGACCCCCAGGGTCCGGGGCAGCACTGGTGGGAGGGGACCACTGGGGGCAGCCTGGCATCCTCGACCCCTCCCCCCTCCAGCGAATCAAGAAACCAGGCAGCGAGGCTCTGGGGGCTGCTTTTATGGGGACGATCTGACAGAGGGCATGGTCCGTACAAAACCAGGAACAATACATACATATATATATATTATATACAGAGACGCAGTCCTCCGGAGGGCGGGGCAGGGGAACCGCGGGCCCGAGAAGCCGGAAGCGCCCCGCGGCCCCGCCCACCCGGCCCCGCCCCCTCCATCTGCCGGGGTGAAGTGCACGATCCCCGGCACTGAGACAGCCAGCTCTTTCAGGGGGTGGGGCACGTTGGGGGGGCAGGAAGGGGCGGGCAAGAAATACTGATCAATGGCATGGTCTATTTACAGGGGACAAGGAGAAGCCAAAACGGGTGGGACGGGGTTGTCCGTTTTTAAAAAATGAACAAAAACCCAGGTCTGGGGCAGTGGCATGAGGAAGTGGCAAAATGACATGGATTCTGAAAGGGGAGGAGACCTGGGGGAGTCTCACCTCCCTTGGTCCAAGCCCCAATTTGGGGTTAAAGTGGGGAAATGAAGTCGATTTCACTTAGAAAGCAGGTTGCCAGCAGGGCAGCCCTGGTCTCCCAAAAGATGGTTAGTAAAATTTTGCCCTCCAGTCAAAACATTGGAAAACAGTATGGGTTGGGGTGGGGTGAAGCTGAATCTCTGTGTTGTTAGTACAAGGCTTCCACGTGTCCCCCTGGGCAGGGCAGGGTAAGGCCTGGTTCTCCATGAGAAATGTTCCCTTTGCCTAAGACCAGGATCTCTGCACCCAGGTCCCCTAAACTGACCTCCTCTCCTCCCTGGCATTCCTGGGCTTGACCAGGAAACCTGGACCCCAGAGAGGCCACAGAACAGTTCCAGGAGGAGGTTATGGCTATTTGGCACCTGGGAGAAGGGAGGCACAAGGAGAAATTGAGGGCTGCTGCCCCAGGAGAGGGGGAGCTGGGGACCAGGTGTCCTGGGACTCCTTTTCCTACTCTCACTCCCCTTGTCTCGAAGGATACATGAGAAATCAGTGCAGGCCAGGCTCAGCCTCCAGGCTCTGGGATGGACTCTATCCCTCCCTGCATAGGGGAACAGGGATGGGAGGAGGTGTCAAGGTAACCTCCCCAAGCAGGAAGGTCAGAATGCAACAGAGACAGCACAATAATGGGGGGAGAGGGAAGGGCCAAGAAGGTAGAATCTCAAGTCAAGAGGCCCAGGGCCACCCAGGTGCCCCATGAGCAGGGAGCAGCCTCCAGGTGGTGAGATGCTGGGAGAGCCCCCAGCCCCATTCCAGTCCAGAGACAAAAGCTGGAGGTTGTAAAGTCTGGCAGTTTGGTCTGCAGGTCCTTGTGTCCATCCACCACCCGGGCCAGCCCTTGGCACCCCCCGGCCTCTGTGCCTCAGCCCCATGGGGCAAGAAGGAGGCCGCCCTTCCAGCCACCTATGTCTGCCCGGGCCACCTTACAGGGGCCTGTGATATAGGCCCTCTGGTCCCTGAAGCTGGGGAAGGTGGGGTGGAGGGGTGAGGGGAGTCGGGGCACCTGTCCCCAGGCTGATAGGGAGCGGGGTGGGGTATTGAGGACAGGGGTGAGGGGACAATGGGAGAGGATTAAGTATTGTCCAGTCAAGGAATGATTCCTGTTAAGTAGAATTGGAGTTCCTCAGTGTTTGCAGGTTTCCTTCCAGTTCTGAGATCTGGAAAACAAAGGGGTGGGGAGGGTCAGGGCTGGACACCAGGCACAGGCTCTGCCCCTTCTGCCCCTTTGATGGGGATATGACCCCCCTCTTTTCTCCCTCCAGGATCCACAGGGTGGGTGCTAGATGGGGGCTTATGTGCAGCTCCTTCCACCAGGCCCTGCCCCAGGGCACCCCTGGGCCTACCTTGTCCAGGAGTTTGTCCATCTCCTCCTTCCTAGCTAGCTCTGACTCCTCCAGAACCCGACGCTGCGCTGTCTCCTTTTTCAGGAACTCAATCTCCCTGGTGACAGGCAAAGAACAGATGGTGCATAAAGGTGGGTGGTCTAGCTTCTGTCCAGGGAGAATCAGGGTCCTCAGCCCTGTCCTCAGCTCCACCTGGGCAACTCTGCCCCTCACCCTATTCTCAGGTCTGGAGGTCTCAGGTTTTCTCAAAGCCTCTGGGACCTGGCCCTTGTGTGGGCTCTGGAGCCCAGTCATTCCGGGACCAGGCATCCCCACCATGGGGCACTCCAACTTCTGTGCTCCTTGTCTCCCTACTCAGATGCCACGGGGACGGACTATAATCAAGGGGCCTCTCAATCCTCCATGGGCCCAGGACCCCCGCCCCCAGCCCCCAGGCCACGTACTTCTGCTGGTAGTCCTTGATGAGGCGCTTGGCCTTGCTGTACTTGCGCTCCAGGGCCTGGTACTGGGCCTGGGTCTCCCGCAGGTGCTCATCCACAGCCTGGCACAAGCTCTGGGCCTCGCCCCAGTAGCCCTCCAGCTTCTCCATGCGCTCCTTGTTCTCCTCCACACTCTGCTCCAGCTGGGCCTTCTCTACCCGCCAGCGTCCCTTCTCCTGCTCCAGGCTCTGCAGCTGAGAGCAGAAGGAGTGGACCCGAGTTGGTGGGGGCCAGAGGGAGCCAAGGGGCACCCCCATCCTGGCACTGAGGCCAGAGTCTCCAGGGGACTGCCGCAGATGTGGAGCCCACTGCACCCCAAATACTAACTCTCCTGGGCTGAGCCTGAGAGGGAAGAGGTGCCACCTTGGCCTCAGGGATCCCAGCCAGGGTCCCTGTCATTGCACCTACTCCCAGGGAGGCAGGAGGCCTCTGTTAGTCATTGACTAACCAGGTGACCCCAGTATAGACCTCCAATCCCTAAAAGCTCCATCCTGGATCCTCTGTTCTCTCCATACTTACTGCCCTGGGGCACGGTCCCACCTCTGTGCACTCTGAGTCCCAAATCCTGAAACACAGCCCAACCTTGCTCCCAACTTCCAGCCTTATCTCCCAGCTCCTCATAGTTACCACACCCCAAACCAGCCCCTCCACCTGCACAAACCTACACTTCCTTTCCTGACTTGCTCACTTCTATTAACAGGTGTCCCCATCTCAAAGCCATCCCAGCGTGCAATCCCAAGCCCGTGCCTGCCCCACCACCTTGTTTGCTGCAAACACCCCTTGCTCTCTGCACTCCAGCCACACAGGCCTTCCTGCAGATCCCCAGACTTGCTTTAGTGCCTTTGCACATGCTGTTCCCTCTCCTGGAATGTCCCTCATCTCCCCTCCCCCTTGCCTAGTTATTTCTCACTAGCTCACCCTTCAGCTCTCTGTTCAGTATATCACTTCCCCAGAGAAGCCTCCTGTGACTCCCTCAACAGCAGAGCCCCATAGCCTTCAACTAACCCCACCCCTCGTTCAGTCAGGCTCCTTCTGCTTTAGGAGCTCAGTAACCCTGTCCTCTCCAACAGAGCCCCATGTCAGCTTGTAACAATACCGCCACTGGTGTGCAGACTAAGCTGTGCAAGGAAAAGAATGAACTCTGCTTTTGCCCATCACAGGGACTAGAACAGAGCTGGGCATCTAGAAGGTACCCAACAAATGTTTGTAAATTGAATGCACAGATTTCTAACGCACCCCTCCCCTTCATGCTCTGCATACACTCAGGAACAAGGCCTGTCATCTTGACCCTGGAAATACAGCTCTAACCCATCCTTCCTTTCCATACCCTCAGCCTGTGCTCTGGCCAGTCCTGGCCCACCCCAATCAGAACACTGTCCAGGCCTCTGACCAGTTTGCCTGCTTCCAAGCCCTGCACACCCTCACGTCCTCCCATTTCATAGGCAGTGACCTTCCCGAAGCCCCCATATGGCCCCACAGCCCCATGCTGCCTACAGGACCAAGGCTAGGTCCTTAGAGGGGAGTCAGCAGGCTGCAGGTCACAGCCCACCTTGGCAGCCCAGCCCTGCTCCCACCTCTCCACAGGAATGGCGGCTGCAGCCTGGCAGGCCTCCTCCCAAGCCAACCTCCAAGGTCCAGCATGCATCTCTGCAGTAATGCTTTTCCTTCTGCCTCAGCCTTCTAAACCCTGTCCTTCCCTGAGGCTCGGCTTCACACTTTCCTCTCTATGTGTCTAGTAGGTGTATACCTGCACGAGAGAGCGTACACACCCATGTACCTCGGTGTGACATGTCTCTCCTCAGTGTAGCCCCTATAGACCCATCTCTCTCCACCACACCAGAAGCTTCATGCAGGTTGGGACTCCTACTCATCAGGCCCCAGTAGGGATCCTATGCAGACTTTTAATATGAAGTCTGTGTAACTACATGCCTACAAGTGCAAGCATCTGTGCATGGTACACATGCATGTTTACGTATGTTGTGTGTCACCACCTGGTTACATGAACATCAGCACCTCTGTGTTGCCTGCCCAGGTAAGAATGTACATGTCCCGTGATACTCTTCCTAGACCAGGTAGTCTGAATGATGGTCACTCCTGTGAGTCTGAGAGCAGGCAAATGCAGAGTGGGTCTATGTAACCAGGCGGATGCTCCTGGGTGTAATGTCACATAAAGCACAGGTCCAGTGTCTCTGTGATTTCATCCATGTAGAATGGGTGTCTCTAGGTGACTGGATCCAGGCTGGCATGTGACAGTGTGTGTATCTTTGGGTAATTTGTATTTATCACTGGGTCTGTGTTCAGTGAACGGAGTGCGACTTAGTGAGCTTCAGTATAATAGCTAATATTTTGACTTTTTATTGAGCACCAATGATATGTCAGACACTGTGCGAAGGACTTTACGTGTATTATTTCATTTAATCCTCACAGTGATCCTCTGGTGTTGGTACTGTTATTACCCCACTTTACAGGCAAGGAGACTGAGGCACAGAGCAGCAAGTGAGTGGTAGAACAGATGGGTCCCGAGCTCAAGCTCTTAATACTATGTCCCCTTAACTCAGAGCAGCCTGTTCTGTGGGTGCCTGTGTCTACGGGTGGTGTACAAGTACTGGCACACACAAGTGTGAGGGATCCTTCCCCTGGCCCTCAGACCCTGTTTCTCAACACACACATCCCCTCACCTTTCTTTTAAGCTGCTGGATCTCTGCCTCAGTCACAGCGTGCTTGATCTGGAGCTGTAGGGCACAAGGGCTGGTGCTCAGCTCCGGCTGGGGCAGGCAGTGCTGCAGGACAGGATACTGGCCCAACTTTGTCCTCCACCACCCCAGGGACCCCTCCTCTTCCCACCTCCTTGAACTTGTGCACCAGCTTCTCGGGCTCCATGTCCACAGGGGACAGTGCATCCTCGTTCTCTGCTAGCTCAAACACCTCGATGGCCATCTCGCTGCCTGGGAACGTGGGGCTCAGCTCCTCATCCTCGTCAGTGGCGTACTCTCCCGTCTGTGAAGGGAGATAGGAGACTGTGGACCCTACCCACCCCGCCTCCCTCAGCCCTGATCACCTGGGCTTAGACCAGCAGCAGTCTGTCCATGTTAGACTGGACGCTAGCCAGGGGTGTGGCTCATGGGTCCCCCATCTTTCTGGGGCTGCATCAGAGGCATGGTTTGTGTCCTCCCCCCAAAAGCTGGGGAGCGCCTTGAGGGCAGTGATAGTTTCCCTATAAGACTGGGACCCTGAGGAAACAGCCTGTACTTTCCCCTCATACTACAGGTCCCCTAAGGTCTGGACCTGTCTTCCTCCTCAGATTAGGTCCCCTGAGGTTAGGAGCTATGCTGTCCCATTAGAATGGGGGCTCTTTGAGGGAACTGTTTCCTTGCAGGACCAGGAAGGTGCTCTGAAGACAGGATGTGACTCTTCCATCAGCCTAGAGGTTCTTTGAGGGGAGGGTCTGTATCTCTTCCCTCAGACTGGGGCTCCCCTGGGATAGGAGTGGCACTTGGGGCTTCCTTACAAACCCTGGGGAAGCTGTGGACAGAAGATGACTGTCATGCTTCATCTAGCCGCCAGGGGGCGATCGTGCTGCTGGCCCGGCCAGGAGTCCCTACCTCCTCGTCATCCTCTCCGTACTGGGCGTATCTCTGCTCCATCATCTCCCGCTGCCATCGCTCCTGTTCCAGGGTCTGCTGAATTAGCTGGGCCACTTCGCTCTGCTCCCCCGGCCGCTCCCGGCCAATCATGAACCTGCAGGGACACCAGAGCCATCCCCTGCCTCTGTCCTCCGCTGGGTCATGCTGCCATCCTCCCTGCTGGCGCTCCCGTCTCCAAACCCATGCCTTCCCAGGGGAGGGGAAATGAGAGGACTGAGTCCAGAGGCTGCAGTGTTAATAATGAATGGGGAGGCTGCGGGCCCTATTGGGTTTCCTTCCCAGGGGAGGCCAGAAGGCCCACTTGCCCTCTTGGCCAGTTTTGGAGGAGGAGGGATGTCACCAAACTTTGGACTGGGCTGCAGGAGACATGAGGTCAGGAGCTGCCAGAGTCAGGGCCCTTCCCCCACCATATGGGAGAAAGTGAGGCAGAGGAATGGTGAAGATGACCCACCCTAGCAGGGCTGGGGCTGTGGAGGTGTGTGTCTTGGGTATGTTCCAAGCCCCTGAGCTTCAGGAAGGGGCGGGATGATGATGACTGGAGATTAGGATGGAGAGGAAATAGTGGAACTTCCAGGCACCAACCCCTCCTCCCTGTGGCCACCCACATCCTGTTTCTCTCCACCACCCTTTCCTGGCGGCAGTGCCCCTCTTGGAGGGGGTAGGGAATGATCCCTGAATGTTATGCCAGCAGTGGAATGGACACAGGGAGCTTCTAATCCAATCCCTTTCATTTACAGGCCCAGGGAGGAGTCTTCCCAGGGTTACATGGGGCTGGTCAGGAGGGAGGGATGAAGTTCCGTATGAGGGGACCTCAACTGGGCTGGCATTCATCCTGCACATCTTGGTTCTTCAATGAGTGAGTCAGGGACAGGTAAGAGGGAAGGAGAATAAGCACAAGAGGAAAGTTTGGAGGGGCAGTGGACCTTGAAGCCGGAACACTGGTGGCCAGCAGTGGCCATGGAGCACAGGATGGGAAGACAGGCATGACAAAGGGGCTGTGGGCACAGCAATCACTTCAGGCAGGAAGTCAGTGGACCCTCTGTGAAATGGGCCACCCAGAACCTTCGCTGGATGTGGGCAGTGGGCAGAGTGGCTGGATGAGGGCCGAGCCTCCTGCCTGCCCCCACGCCCCACCCACCCCTGCCCCCTGGGTTCTCACCGCACTCGGCCCTTGGTGTTGCGGAGCACAGAGGCTGCAAAGCTCTGGGTCACTCCCACCAGACTTGTTCCATCCACTTCCACCAGGAGATCGTTCACCTGGATCCTAGGGGAGACAACGTTAGTTAAGGGGATCACAAGAGGAACTGTGGAGCTAGGGTAGAGGTGGTCTCCCTCCTATCCAAAAATTCCAGGCTCAGTCTCCACAGGGACCTGGTACTTTGTCTACCTGCATAAAATTCATGAGGCCAGAGGATGAGGGATCAGGCAGGTGCACCCATGTGTGCAGTTCAAGCCAGGCAAGCAAAGCAGACACAGGCATCCAGGACCAGGAGAGGTGGCAGGCACACTTCCCGTGACAATCACACTCTTGTCCCCTCCTCCCTCACACCTGACAGAGCGGTGTGATGTCCTCAGAGCTCATCTCTGCCATGCACACAGGCAAGGGGCACACACGTGACATGGCTTCCTCTGACATTTCTGCACAGAGCTAATCCACAGATGTTCTCCCATATGCCTGAGACCCAAGTAGCACTCTCAAGTTCACGTACCATCCCACACACCTGAAACAGGTGCACAACCCCCAATGCACTCCAGCTGTGGCACTGGAAGCCCTTGTTTGCCACACAAGAAGGGGAGACATGGGGGTGGTCCTGGCCTGGGGAGGGGAATGAAGAATATTGGGGTACCCTTGGATACCTCCTTCCTCCACTCCCACCTCCCTGGGAGCTCCAGGCCTTCTCTCAGGGGTCCCATGTGGAAATGGAGGAAATGGCCTCTTGTAAAGAGCTCACCCCCACATGCCCCCCACTTCCATGTGGGCACAAGCTTGTGGACACGCTCACACAGGCACACACACTCCCCACACTGCCAAAAGGTGACAAGGGGAAAGGCTCTGGAAAGTTTAAATCAGGAAGGAGAGGGGGTGAGTGAAAGGACAAGGACTGTCACCCTTCCTGTTCCCTGGACCCCTCCATGCCACCTGGGCCACAATAGGCAGAAGCTCCCTGAATGAGGCCATCCCATCTCTAGCAACATGACCTTAAAGTCACCCAGCCCTCACAAGGACACCAACTCACTTCCATCCTCGTTCTCTCTGCTCCAGCCAGACCTGCCTGCTTTAGGCTCCCCTGCGTGGAACCTTTGTGCCCCCTCGGCCTTGCTAGCTCCTGCTTGTCCTTCAGCTCTCAGCTCCAGTGTCACCTCCTCCAGGAAGCCTTCCCTGACACCCAGAGAAGTCAAGCCCTCCTTTTTTATGCCTTCATGGCACCCGTATTTTTCCTCCATTTCGTCATTTTCTGTGCTCACTTGTTGAATGTCTGTCTACCTCACTGTGCTGCACACTTCCCAAGGGCAAGCTCCTTACCACTGACTTCCCAGGGCTTGGCACCAGCCCAGCAACAGAGTTAGGGATATAATATTTTTTAACCGAAAGAAAATGCTCAAATGTACTCCAGACACACAGCTCCATGCCCACACTCACCCTCCAAAGGCGCAATACACACCCCAAACCAGGACACACAACACCCACGCACAGCCCCCCAACTTGACCATTTTCCTCCTCTAGAACGTGAATGCCCTTAGGGCAAAGGCTTCTATCTGTTCTGCTCACTGTGTAGCCCCTAGGCCTGGAACAACACCTGGCACAGTGAACAGCTGAACTACACACAGAGCACAGAAGACTCCCAGGGAATGGCCCATGCCCCCTGCTTAGTGGCTCACCCCACAGGTGATGGCTGGCAAAGGAGGGAGTTGGGCAAGAATGGGGAGGGTGGGGGGTGGTACCTGCCATCCCGATGGGCTGCGCCACCCTCAGTCACAGTCTTGACGAAGATGCCCAGCTTCTCCAGGCCCATGTCCGCCCCGGCCCCCATGCCGATGATGCTGATGCCCAAGCCCTCGGAGTCTGTGGAGCAGAGGGTGGTGAGATGCCAGGGCATGGGGGGAGGTCGTGGAGCTCCAGATGAGGGCTTGTGGGGGGCATGGGGTAAGAGACCTCATTCTAGGGCACAGTCCCACATCCAGATGCAGTCCCCATGCCTAAGTGGATACCCCACAACTGGGGAAGGGGCATGGGTCTGTCCACCCCAGGTTTGCAAGCCAGCTAGGTTGGCTCTTGGGTCACTCCCTGCCCTACCAAAAGAACTGATGAGCAGCAGGATGTGCCAAGGGTGGCAAGGGCGAGTGAGAGACTTGTGTACACAGATACAAGTGTGTGGCTAGCATGGGGTGGCCGTGGCAGGGTTTGGCCCTAAGCCTTTAGGCCTTCTCCCTCTCTAAGCAGACTCATCTCTGTTTCTCCCCTCTCCACACCTGCCCCCACCTGCCTCGTGGGCCTCTGACATCCAAACTCATGCCCTTCCCCCCCACAAACACTCCCTGGTGGGGGATGGCACCACCACCCACCAGCTGCCAGTCCTGGGAGGTACCTGGATCCCTCTCCCCCTCACAGCCTCCGCCTAAGTCCAGTACACCAGATCCTGCTGCTTCTACCCCTGAGGCTCTTTTCAGTCCACCCACTCCCTGCTCTGCCATCATCGTGTCCACACCACAGCGGTCTCTCTCCATCTCCTTGTGACCCCTCTCCCTACATCACAGCCTGGTCTGGTCTTTGTAGAACACCTTTCCCATGCCCAGCACCGGCCCCCAAGCCATCCCAGAAAAGGACCATGTCCTCCCCATGGTCTGCGAAGCCTGGGTGTACACCTTTGTCACCCTCCCTGTGGAAATGCACCCTGCACGCTGCCCTCAACTCCTGTTCTACAGAGCTTCACTCAAGCATCACCTGCTGGGGATCCCCCTCTCCAGTCTGGTCAGGCCTCCTGTTGAATGCTTTCCCAGCACCTATTGCAGTGCATAAGGACGCAGTTAGATGCGACTGTTCCATGATGTCTGCCTCCCCCATCGGCCTCCTGGAGGAGACACGCTCCTGAGAGCCTGCTTATGCCCGTCACGGTATCCCCAACACAAAGCTCAGGACCTTGCACACAGTACTCAGAGCTCTGTTAATGGAATAAGCAAATGTCCTTTCCATGACAGGGTTGGTGGGGGTGTGAGCTTGGGCTGGTGGGAGTCACGTGTATCTGTGGGGTGCTGATGCGAAGGCCATCAAAGGCCTGAGTCAGGGGAAGAGGCCCAAGATGTCCGTGGGAGCCCCTGAGGGCACAGGACAGAAGCTGGCACCAGAGAGGAGACCTGGCTCAACCCCGGCTTTGCCCACATGGTCTGGGCCCCTGGCCTCTCACCCTTTTCCAGCTCCACAGGGAACAGCTCCAACCTCTCCACCCGCTTCTCCAGCTCGTATTCAGCAGAGGCCGCCATGGGATCCACATCCTCATTGCGACGATCGTAGTCCTCATTAGAGTAGGTGCTGAACACCTGGAGAGGGGCAGCTTGTCAGAGAGGCCAGCAGGAGGGTGAGGGCAGAACTGGCGTGAGGTCGAGGGGGCAGGCTGAGCCACCCACCCCATGGCCCCCTCCCCTCCTGCCACATGCCTTTCCCCTGCCCCCAGAGAGGCCTGAGATGAGGCCTTGCCCAGTCCCGCAATGACCCCAGCTCCGAGCTCTGGAGCCTCAGGGCTAAGAGAGAAAGGGACCCGGCCTTGCCTGACCCACACTGTTATGCATGATCTGCTGGAGGAAGGGCAGGGCAATCAGACTCAGGAACGCAGACACCCAGGTCAGAGAGCACATGAGAGATGAGGACACAGAGGGCCAGGTAGACACAAAGACACAGACGCAGGGAGGAAGGAACAGGCTGAGCAGGAGAGGGGAAGAGGAGGGGAGAAAGAATGAAGAGGATGCTGGAGGCTGCCAGATGGGGAGGAGGGGGGAGCGGGTGTGAGACATGGGCAGAGTGGAGAGAATAGGGGAGCAGGAGAGAGAGGCACCCAGGACTGGCTGGGACCTGAAACTGAGGAGGATGCTGCGGTGGGGGAGGGGAACAGGAGAGTCCACCTCTACCCCCATGGGGAAAGGGCAGGCCCTCCACCCCCAGGTGCCCCTCAGGTGGCAGGAGCAGGGGAACAAGCTGGGCTCCTATGGCCTTCCTTGCATGCCCCGGCCCCTCTCCCCCAAGAATAGCAGCTCTCAGAGTGATGCCCTGTTCTCCACGCACTGGTTGGCTCAGGCATAGGCCCTAGGCCCTGGAGAGACCAAGGAGAGGGGGGAAGTGGCAGCCTCTCTGACACTGTCCACAGTGAACCCAGGCTTGGTCCCTCCTGTACCCTGCTGTCTCCCTCCTCCTGTGTCTCTCAACAAAGAGGGGAATTTCCAGCTCCGACCCTCCCCAAAAGAACAGAGAAGGTGGGGCAGGGGCTCAGAGGGGGTGCCTAATTCTGGGCCCAGGCAGGGGTGCCCCCAGTGGGAGGTTAATGAGCACCATTTGGGGTACCATGACATTCAGGCTTCATTGCCTGCAGCGACAGGCTGACACCACTTGGAGCAAAGTGGGGGTAGGGAAGGGTGGTGAGCAGCTTTACAGATGACTGGGCCTGAGGCCTAAGGAGCTGGAGTGGGACACCATCTCCCCCAAGGCCCTTGCCAGGGCCCCCTCTGCTGCAGGAGCAGATCCATGGGCACCCTGGCAGGCAGCAGCACTCTTGTGTCCCAGCTTTTGTTTGGGCTTGCTCCATGTCATCCCCACCCCCTCACTGCCACAGTGGGAGGGGGAGGGGTGCTCATGGGACTAGAAGCATGGCTGCGAGGGGCCTTTGTGGTCACTTAGCTCAGTGCCCTCAATTTCACAGCATCAGAGAAGTCTGGGCTCAGGCCCTTAGAGCTTGTTCATCCATTGTGCAGTGGTTGGTGGACGGTTCTCCCAACATCTGCCCAGTGCCTCCTAGCTCCTTAAAGGAATGGGCTGCCCATTCCGCACACAGTCCAAGATACCAGGTCCGCTGCCAAAGGACACATGGGTTAGCCAGTGGCAGGGCAGGATGAGACTGCACCCAGCTGGGTTCTGGTGGGTGGGACACCGGTGACTCTGCCCCAGGCACTGGGACAGGGGCTGGAGTGACCCTGGACCCAGCAAACTGGCTTTGGCCTACTTTTGCATCTGAGTCCCTTGACCTTCACCCTCTGCTTCAGGAGATAGGGTCCCCTCATCCCTCAGTCTTTGTGGGCTCCTGGATCAACAAAACCCCTCCCCCCCCACACACTCAGATGACCACAACCACTGCAACCTCCAAAACACACCCTCACAGCCTGTCCTGGGCTTCACACTCCCCTCTTTTCTCAAATCCTGTCCACCTTTCAAATCCTGCCCTGTGCAGGAATCCCAGGCCTCAGGCTAGTTTGTAGTCTTCCAGACCACTCCCCACCCCTCCTCAGGCTGCCCACCATCATATGCCTATCAGAGGGCTTTGGGCTCAGTCCTACCTCCAGGTGAGGACTGGAATTGGGTTGTCTGCCCTCAGCTGAAGCCTCCACCTCCATAAGGGCAACAATTGGACTCAGTACTGATGCAGAGGTGGGGGCAGGGAGAAGAAAAACCCCTGTGCCAGGGTGGGGAGGAGAAGATCCCCAGCAAAGCCCAAAGACAGACACATTAAGGTCCGCACCACACACCCTGGCTTTCACACTGGGCCGGGCCGGTGAGCTCCAGCGTCACCAGGGAGTCGGGAAGCACTGCTCCAAATCATGTGCTATTTTTTACCAAAAAATCAGGGTAAGGTGTCAAATATAGACAGTCACCGGCCCAGACCAAACTCCATGTCTGAGGTCATCAGGCTGCTCAGAGAACTGGTGGGAGTGTGGGTGTGGGTGTGGGTGTGGGTAGGGGGATCCTGACTCCCTCAGAGTCCCATGAAATACCATAATCCTCCATCCCACTGCCTTGAGAAGGGGAGAGGGGATGGGAGGAGACTCCTAAGGTCCCAGCTCAGGGGAAGGGGCCTGCCTGGGAGGGAGCAGCAGCCACTCACTTTTAGCCTTTTAGGCCTCCCGCTGGGGTGGGAGGTGGGAGGGGGCACAGGTGAAGATATTCTGGGACGGGTGAGAAGAAACTTGGGCAGCTTCAGTGTCTAGGAGTAGTTATGGAAACTACAAGCAAACACATAGGGGGTTGGCTGCAGAGGGGTAAAGGCTAGGCAGGGTCCAGGCCAAGGAAAATCCAGGGACCCACGGCTGGGCACAGCTGAGCCTGGGGCAGTGAGCAAGAACCATCAGGCTGAATGTGCCAGCCAAGAGCAGAGGGTGGTGGGAAGTAGGAGTGGCCTGGGGTGGTTCATTCTCCCCAGGGGATGCCCCCTCCCCATTGGCACTGTTCTGAAGATCTCAAAGCACTGGCACAGCCCGCAAACCAATCACCAATAGTGGTGGTGGGGGTGGGCAAACTGAGACCCCCCCCCCAAAAGGGACAGCTCTCATCCCTCTTTCAGGGTACTCAGAGAAAGTGGCAAGAGCACTTGGGGCCTGCCAAGGCTTTGGGAGTCGGTCCTGTTGAGCTGCCAAGAGCAAAGACATGCCACTGTTACCAGGCACCCTGGGGGATTTCCCTGCCCCACCTCCTATTCTCTGTTCCCTGCAAAATCCCCCATAAAGGCCATACAAGGTGCCTCCTCCCTGTGCCACCCAGGACCCCCAGTTGCTAGCCCAGCACAGACTCCCAGGGAACAGGGCCCCAGCCTGGGCCTTTTCCCCAACCCCAGTCACATGGCCAGAGCCTAGCTCACCCCCACGACCTGCTTCCTTCTTTCACTTCTGCAAAGTTGGAGTCGGGGTACAGACAGGGTGGAGGAAGGGCTGCCCTGCCGTCTCCAGCACCTTAGTTTTGGGAAGTTCCTGGCTCCCCGACCCCCCACCCAGCTTCCATATAGGGGGAAAACAAGGAGGGTTTCTAAGCTCCCTGACTCCTTCTTCTAGGATGCATGTGGGGAGTCTCTCCTGAAGACTCACACAGCCCTTCACACCACCAAGCCCCAGCCTGTGACAGCCTCTGGAGGAGGGATTGTCTGGGAAAGTTAGAGTAAGCAGGTGTCCCAGTACCCGCGTGGGGCAGGACGGGTACATCAGAGCACTGGGAGGTGCCGCAGGCAGAGGAACCTGAGGGCAGGTCTGGGCAGGCCACCCCCTTCCCAGACTTGAACTTCGTCCCCCTCTGACAAACAGCTGGAGCTCCCCCACGTCCCCCTCAGGGTGGGAACTTCTGGGAAGGGGGCTGGGTGGCAGGGGCTGACTCAGCCTGCCAAACTCGGCTGGCGAGGCGGGGGCGACGGCGTGCACGTGGCAGGGGCGGCGCGGGGGTGGGAGGGGGCTCACTTACTTGGATGGGAGCTGTGCTGAAGTGGATCTTCCGGCTCGGGGCCGGGTCCTCTTCCTCCGATAGCCCCGGGATCTCCACGCACCCTGACTCGGGCTCGTAGGGAGGCTCCCCATCCTCTTCCTCGTCTTCGTCGTCCTCCTCCAGGGCACTGCCCCCAGAGTCTTCCCCCAGCCCACTATAGGCACTCACGTCCACCAAGTCCGCCTCTGAGAAGTCCTCCTTCTTGGACTCATCCGCCTCCTCCGGGGCCACGTCCGGGGCCCGGACACTGCTCACCCCCCTCTCTGGCGCTGCCACCGTCGCCACCTCCTCCTCGGGGGCCGCTTGGGCCTTCTGCTCCTCGGGCGCATGGCTGGCTGTGGTTGCCAAGGTGCTGCCATTCTCCAAGGCCGCGTGGACCGTCACCTCGGCCTGGATCACTTCTCCGGGCGCCAACTCGGCCTCCGACTCCCCGCTCTCTTCCACCTCCACCGGCTTAATCTTGCGCACCTCCCGGGGCTTGGGGGGCGGCCGAGCAGGAGCCACTCGGTGCTGCGGGGGCTGCTGCCCTCCAGGGCCACGCTCCTTCTCGGCTGGGGCATCCCCCGACGGGGCGGGCGGTGGCTGAAACACCCGGGACCGCTTACTGACCAGCTTCGAGTTGACATGGGGAGCCCCTGCGGCCGCGGCCCTGGGGGGCCCAGGCCCACGGTGGAGGCCGGTCCTCGAGTCGGCCTTTTCGAAGACGGCGCTGAGCTGGCTGACCGTCGGCGACACGGCGTCGGCGTCCAGCTTGTCCAGCGCCTCGGTGCTGCCGTTGAAGCGCACCACGACGTCCAGCTTCCGGTCCTGCAGGCCGGCGCGCTCCTGCCTCAGCAGCCGCCGCGCCGCGGCCTCCTTGTCGCCGCCGGTGGCCGCCGGGGCGCTCCGTTCGAACAGCTTCCGCGTCTCCTGCAGCCGGGACGGCGGGTG